GCTTATCTACAAATTGATTAATTAAGGCCACGTCTACACCAACTGCACTAGAGAGCAATCTCCTAGTCTTTATTAAACCCGCTAAATAAAATGCCAGGAATGTAAAATCCCAGTTAATCAGTTAACTGGTTAATCATTCGGTTGACCTAATTGATTAACCTACTAAGCCTGGCTGGAGCAATCCATAGTCCATAGCACTGAGACTGGCTCTGCCAGCCCCTGCCTGTGGGGCACCCGAGCTCCCCACGGACAGAGGCTGTTCTGGACGCCGGAGCAGCCCCTGCCTGCTGAGCACCTGGGCTTTCTGTGGACAAGGGCTTCTCTAGACGGCAAGCCCCCTGCCAAAACTGGTAAGCATTACCCATTTAGGGTGATGCTTATCGGTTAACCAGTTAACCTTTCACATCCCTAATATGGACCTGCCAAATAAAAGCTGAGCGTGCCCCCAGTTGATGCCAGTACTCCCCGATTGCCATCAACATCCCGCCGTGGAGATGGCGCTAATCTCAGCTTAAGGTACGTCAACTCCAGCTATGTTATTTACTAGTATTGGTTTAGTTTGTCTACTCTCTGACATCCCTAGTACAGAGGCAAGCTAAACCAATGTAAGTCATGTTTAAAATAGATTTAAGTGTACATACAAAGTTGCACTGATCAACTAAAACCATTTTTTTTAAACTACACCTGTAATATAAAACCACTGCAATGTGTGATGTTCAGGCCCTAGTTGGAGATGGTGGAAAGGTTTTACAGCTGAAGAGAATCTGACAAGAGCAGTCTTCCCCAGACATAAAGCCAAGACATTCACGTGTCTCAACAACATGTTTTGATTTTAAATGTGAGCGCTGAGCAAAGAGAGCTTTTATTGAAAAAACATAACAGAAAGGAAAATGGTACATTTATGGTGCCTATTTAATCATATAAAAAGGACAGACTTCAGATTTTGGATAGCTCATTTCCAGAATCTGAAAATAAGGGTTAAGCTACAACATACTTGGATAGTGAATATATTTTGTTTGGTATCTGGCTTCTATAACATCTAAAACATTCCAACCCATTAAAGAGTCAGGGGAAGATTTTTAAAAGTATTTACAGAATTTGGGAGCCCAATTCTCATTGAAAGTCAAAAGGTACTAGTGTTCCTAAATCACGTAAGTGCTTTTGAAAATCTCCTACAGAGAGACACATTTTTAATAAAAACACACACAGATCTAATACAGAGTTGCAAAAGTATGGTATTATGAATAGCAGAAAACAGACATACTGAATATTTAATACAGAAAACTCATTGCTGTGATCTGGCGTGTTAAGTCCAGAGCAAAACTGACACAATTATTTCTTTTCCCTCACTGTCTTTGGAAAGAGGCAAAGTTTAAGAGTTGGAGAAAATAGGCTCTCTCTCAAAAAGTTCTCACAAGTCACGAAGCAGCAGAGAGAAAGACATAGGGAAAACTTACTTGGAAACTCCCGTCTGGTCCAAAACAACTTTGCCACCTCTACATGACGGATAAACTTTAACAAAAAACTCATATAACATGCCGTCATCCACATCTGGGGTCAGATCTCCCACAAAGAGTGAGTATTCTGGACTAAAAAGGAGTCAATACAGAATACATTTTATTAATAGCAATAAACCAAACAGTACGATACGAACAAGAGCAGAAAACTATCCAAAAGCTCTGATTATTAAGTGGCATGAGTTAATGGGACTATGGGGATATAAATATTATTTTTAAAAGCCTTACCTATGTAACTGGCTAGAGATGTTACCACGTACCTGTGTACATGGTTAACTGATGAGCCTGGGCTCATCGGTTAACCCTCATAGTTACATGCACATACCCACCGCACTGCTGCCTCTGATATAGAGGCAGCTGCACGGGAGGGGGAGGGGAGTAGGCAGGAGCCAGTACATGCAGGAAACTGGCTTTCAAGCCAGCTCCCCATGTATATTGGCTCCTGATGAGCTGCTTGCCCCCCCACGCACTCACTGGTGCCTCTGGGGATGGAGGAGGGCAGGCGGGAGCTGACGCTCATGCGGAGCCAGCTTAAAAACTGGCTCCCTGCAAGCACCAGCTCCCGCCTGCTCCCCTCGTGTAAACATGTTTACAAAAATAAGGACATTTTAACATCCCTATTACTGGAAATTTAGATGATAAACTTAAATTTTTTTTTACTGCTTATATTTTCCTTCTCAGAGCAGCAAAACCAGACTGCTCCATTTCACTTTTTACTTACATACAATTTCTCTCTCTCTTGATTAGTTTATAGCACTGGGCTTGTGTTTTCAACACTGCAATATTTATATGCCAGAGAAATAAAAAGAAAATTCAGTGAAAGAGAGATTTAATTTCACTTCATATTAAGGTTTGCAATACCATTTTTTAAATTAAATTTGTGGATTAATTCTTTCAGAATAACTCTCAACACTCGTATTGCTTTAGCTTTTCAAACCATTACTATCCATTTGTGGGTAATAGCTCATTTATAAGTTTGCTAGTTCCCTATTTACTGACCTTTATTTGCAATCAGTCTGATGCTGCAAATATTTAAACACATATGTAGTGCAACTGAAGTCCATGAGGCTACTCATGCTTAAAGAGCTTGCAGGACTAGGGCAATGTTCCGACTCTTGAAATTCTTAAACACAATATACCTTTCTGGAGATAAAAGACACCTTGCCTTTCTTTCCCGTCCTCCCACAGGAATGAATGTTAGGTTTGGAATAGGTACAATTTAAAATGTATTTATAAGATAGAAAGCCCTCAAGTGTTTAGGATGGAGTGAAGGGAGCAAGTTTTCCTTCTGACTGCCACAGACTTTTAGCATGCCCCTGAGCAAGTTATTTAACTCTCAGTAATGCAGGCTACCCATGTGTAACATAAGGCTAATACCTACCACATAGGGCGACTGCAAGAATTAATCACACTGTTGTTACATGGCTGGAACCCCTTTTCTGACCCCATGAGCCATGCTTTGACCCTCACCTCTGAGTCCCTCCTCAAAATGCATTTCTTCAAAGAGGCTTATGGATCAGAGTCTAAAAATAAAAATGTAACCCCTAAGATGCAAATATCACTCACCTAAGCAACCACAGAATCTTATTGTTGTCAACCCTGTATATATTCCTCAGTCCCTCCATTAGCTTCAGTTGTGTGAATTCTTCTGAGCAGGCACACTCTTTATTTTAAAGAGCCAGGCACATTTATGACATTAGATACACAATGCATACATATTTTTATTTTGTGAAGCACTTTTGAGATGCATGGGAGGTGCTAAGGCAATGCACTGTATCGTAAACTCACCACTGTATTTAATTACACTTTAAAGCAGTATAGTTCCGTAGTTATTGTTTTGTTGCCTGGCATTGCCCACCCAGAACGGCACTTACGATTTAAACTGTATGCATCTACTTAAAACTCTGCTACTCTGTATTGCTAAGAGCTGAGCTGGTCCAGCAATAGTGAATATATTGATTTGCACTCTGAATACTCTTTTGCAAGGGAACTCACAAACAAACAAGAACAATGTTTGAATACTAAACACTTACCTGTTATCAGGCTGTTTTCCATACGTTGCGTAGTTCAGTTTAAATCGCTTTGCCTGAAACAAGGATAAATAGAAACTGACAATACATAAAACCATGTGGGTTCACATTAGAATATTTTTATAATGACAATTAGTAAAAGTGAGTTATAATAGGCTAATTTTAAACCCTTTTCTTAATAATGGTAAATGTTAAATACTTAACAATGTCAGGTCTGAAGTAGGGATACGAAGGTTTGCCAGCTGGGACTGAAGCAGCTTGCTCCGCTGTGGGTAGGGGTGCTCCAGACCGGTTGGAGTGGTCCCTCTCCAAGGTGGAGGGGTTGCTCCAGCTGGGTCGTAATGGGGCCACTCCATCCCAGCCAGCTATTACCTCCTTTAAACATCATTAAACAGGATTTTACATCCCTAGTCTGCAGGCTAAAGCATTATAGGGCAAGTCCTTAGAGGATGTAAATTGACTTCAATGGAGATAAGACAATTTACATCAGCTGAGGATCTGAGCCCGGGTCAGCAGGTCCCACCTGGCCACCCCCAAGATATTTGGGCTGCCTTTACTACAAAAATATTCTAATGGGCTATCAGAAGACTTGGAAACACACCAGGGTCTTTCATTTGCATATCTCCAGAGAGACGAGAAAACTAAAGTACCAAAAAAATCACCATTAAATAAGACCTTCTGTGGAAATTTGGTGTTTTTAAATAGAACACAGAACACAAATTTAGAGAACTGTAACTTACAGGAATGTTAACCAAGCAGAGTCTGACACATTGGAAACTAAATCCTCAAACATAACATTTCTAGACACTTTAATGAAGTGCCATACTCTGTATGTTAGATTGCTTATGTAGTTCAGATATGCATTTCTGTGTAGTTGGACTTGAGTAACTTTTGTTGATAAGGGTCAAGAATGATGTGAGGCTTGAACTTCATGCTTCTTTTGGCAAACCAAAGTTACTCAAAATTCAGTGAAAGCTCAGCTCCATTTCAATGCACATAGATGTCCTATTCTATGCAAAGCAATCAGCTAGTATTGTGCTGGTAAAAGATTGCATAGCGGTTAGGAATGCGTAGCCTGCTTTTTCCTTCTCATTGCCTGGTTTTTCATTTGTCATGATTGGAAAACATTACAAAGAATCAGAAATTCACAAATGCAAATATTTGCTGCTACATACATTTTACCCATCCATTCACCCTGAAATAGGCTTATGTCTTAAAAATTAATGAAACTCTTCCAGAGACATTGCTATGAAGAATGTTAGAATACTATGAAGAATATTTCATATCCATCAGCTCCTAAAGAAAACAAGAACTTCCATTTTGCTGATTATTCTGCTTATCTTAATTGCTAATTGTTGTGAGTTCCCTTTTCTCTATCCCTCCCTCTTTCTGCTCCTCTACTAGTCAATTTGGTTTACTTACTGGTGTGGCACCAGGAAGCGGTTTTCCATTGATTTTGTGTAAACACTTCTCTGCAGTAGCCAGATCTGCAAATTCTACAAAGCAATAGCCTGCTGGAATTCTGAATACAGGAGGACCGGAGAGAGAGAGAGAGAGAGAGAGAGAAAGAGTTTTAAGATTACACAACTTAGAATTCATTTTGGGAAAAGTGCAATTCTTATGATTCTCTGAAGGACACAGAGAGGGTGAGGAATTTCCTATAATCATTTGGAAATTAGAACTACATTTTTTTTTCAAAGTGTCAACTTCAGCTTTCACAGAGGAAGCTACTAAGCAGCAAATTATCTCCAATAAGTGAATGCCCACAAGGCCATGTCAGCTGCATTCTCCAGTTACAGAGCCAGCAGAGCTAAGCAAGACTGTGGCTAAACTGTAATTTTTTATTTTTTTTATATTTCCCACCTTTGTTAATAATGGTGCAGCTTCACCAGTATAGACTGGTCACGAGGGGCATGTCAACACTACAGAGAAGATCGACCCTTTGGAGGTCAATCTTCTAATGTTCAATTTAGCGGGTCTAGTGTAGACCACCAAATCGAATGCTGAGGGTAGGTCCTGCTGACATCTGGTACGCCTCGATTTGCGAGGAGTCAGGGAAGGCAACAGGAGCGTGTGCTCCTGTTGACCTCCCGCAGCGTAGATGCCACGGTGGCTCAGCTTAAGGTAAACTGAATCTAGCTACATATTTTGCCTTCCTGGTCTAGCATAGACATCGCAGCATTTCGACTTAAGGTAAGCTGAATCCAGCGACATATTAAGAGGATGGCATACCTTAAGACAACCTGCATTTTAACTATTATAGAACATTAGGTCTTCCATCTTTTACTGTGTTGTATGGGGCATGGGGTAGATTACTTCATCTACATGGCACTCACTATCTTCAGAAGTGAGCACAGAAGTCCATGCAAATGCAATATAGACTCACAGACTTTAAGGTCAGAAGGGACCACCACGATCGTCTAGTCTGATCACATAGCAGGAGTTCTCAAACTCTGAGATACCGCAACCCCCCTCTAAGTTGCTCATGACCCCCCACAGGGTCGGGACCCACAGTTTGAGAAACACAGCAATAAAGGATTCAAATAAACCTGTTCAAATACTGGTCGCAGCTTTCTCCACCATTATTTCCAGTGTGGCTGCTCTGTTGGTAGCAATGGTGGGAAATGTAAGGGAATACAATTTACCGAAGACAAGGCTACCAGGAGGTCTGTGGTTTGTAAATGGACAATCTAAAAGCAAGCATATATAATTAAAATGAGTTGACAGTAAAGATAAATGATTACCCTGTCAATCTATTTCGGATGATTTTTACACTCAGAACAAGTTCTCCCATGGTGGCAAAGGCTCTTGAGACAAAGTTCTCATCCATATATGGCTCCAGCTACAAAGAGAAGGCTGAAATTAGATAGGGGAGTTGGAGGGATAACACATACATCAGTATTACTATTCCTATGCACTTAAAATAAAAAAGCAGTAAGAAGGGCCAGTATCACCCAGCCTGGACCAACCCCCACAACCATAAACCAGCAGGGGCGCACAGAGCCAGTCCCAACAAGATGGTCTTCAAAGTGGAACTTCTGGGGGAAGTGAGGGATAACGATTTAGAGAGGCAGAGGCCTTTCTGTGACGGAACAGCCACAGGTGAGAGGCATTTAGGAACAAACCTTGTGTGGGATGGGGGGGGGGAAGAATGGAAGGAGAGTAGGAAGTGACACTATCAGAGTGCAATGGGGTAGAGGATGGCACACCGAAGGGAGAGCAGGGTGGGGGACCTGAAGGCTGCACTCTGGGGTGGGGGGTAGAGGAGTTGTAGCATGAGGATGGGTGTGGCACTGGGTCTGTGGGCGGTTTGGGGTAGAAGGTTGCAGTGTGTGTCCGGGGAATACAGGGCTGGCACTGCACTTGTGGAGAAGAGAAGGAACGGTGGCAGTGTCTGTGTGCGCCATGGGGCAGGAGGTGCCATGGGGCGGGAGGAGCCGCACATGGGCAGGGCGGGGGAGGCCGTGGGGCAGGAGGAGCAGCACATGGGC